AATTCAGTAGACAAAACAGCATGCTTCAACGAACAGGTCAAATTATACGATCGGTAAATAGCAAAATGAATTGATGATAACGACTCAAGCAAATACTTATGCAAGTGTAAATGAGTCATCAAGATTTTAAGCAATCAATATTTAAACAGGAAAGAGAAATGATTAGCCTGGCATACGAATTCAATCACGCTAACCCATTTATATGAGCGTAAACATACATACAAGTTACCATCGTCTAAAATGACATTACATATTTACAATACATTTCGTAAAACTACTCTACCTTGGTCATCAATGTTGCCGATATTCGATGGAGTTACAAACAGCTTATTATTATTCCCTTTTCTATTTGTTACAGCTTTCAAATTTTCTCTCACTTTTTCAAATAAAATTACTGTTACATTCCTCTATTTATACTTGACTTCTTGTGAATGTTTATCAGATGTTATGTAATCTATCAATTCGCTAATTACATGTTTCGACTCATTCATTTATTCAATCATGCTGTTTTGTATTCATCGCTTTATGCACCTTCCCATCTTATTTTGTTGATTGTTCACAATTATTTTCATAAACACTTTTGAAATTGTAATATTATTATTCAGTTGGTTATGGAGATTAGTGTTTGTTGCACATTGAAATCATCAATCAGCCATTGTTAGACCACCATTAGAAACCTGGAAGCACTGGACAGCCGTTTCGTCCTGGTACAGGACTTATCAGCAGTGAGCATCCACGACTCCTGAACCTTGAAGAATCATTATCTAATCAATGACCACTTTGTTAGTTGAGCATGTGTATTATTGTAGAGCCGTGATGAAAAATTAGTCGAAAAGAAGTAGTTTTACGCACTGTCCTTGTTTTTTTCTAAATGGAAATTACTACCTTATTAAATAAAACAAACTATAAATATAATCATTTGCTTTATTTCTGTGCTTAAGTGAAAAAGAGATGAATCGTATCAAATCTATATTAGTTGATCAATGTAATCACTTTCCAGTGGTTTGATTAACATGATTGATTTGTATTCACAGTGTGACTGGTGTATTGTTTGCAGTCGAATTGGTTTTTTCTTAAATAAGACTATTGTTATTATTATTATTATTATTATTATTATTATTATTATTATTATTAGCTTATACTGATAACCTTAAGTGGTTAATATGAATAAATAGATAGATATACAAGATTGCCATTATTCTAATAGGGGAATAACAAAGAATATAATGTTTCTAAATGAGAACAAATGAATGATAATTTAAAAGAACTCATAATTTTCAATGGGATCCATTCTTAATTAATTCTCTAAGTCAATTAATTAGTCTGTTTGCAACAAACGCAAAGATGTTCATTAGTTGAAATCGATTTTCATTCTGACATAAATAAGCAAACACCATATAATTAGAATATAATATAATTCCCATGGAATATGATAGTGAACGTTAAATAGAATCGATCAAAAGAATTCATATTTTCTTATTGATTTTGTTAATCCCAAAAGAGACAAACAAGAGTTGAATCAACAATTAAAAACAGTTACTTTTTCATCAACCTATACATTTATAAATCTATAATCATGGGAAAATTTGACAAAGATAAGAACTGGTCACAACCGTGGAAATGAGTTCTAGCTCATACAGCGAGAGTCGAAATAAGATTATGGTTACCGCCATGCCATTATTGATTTTATTGAAGAAACTGTCGGATTGTTAAGTCAAGCAGCTGTATTTATGAGCGTTAAGTGACAGTGAAAGAATCCAATGTATGATATGAAGCGCCTTCTGATTGTGGTATTCACTGACAGAAATAAAAGATTAGAAGAGACGTTTTTTTGAGTTAAAAGATGAGACTCAAATAACTATTTCTTTGCATATTGTAGTGGGTAATATGAACCAGAATAACCACTACCCTTGTTTTGCACAGAACAAATGTTTGTGTTGATTAATTACCTCTAAAATTATGTTGGCTTAGCCCAAAAACGAAGAGAGTATTTAAAGTTGTAGGGGAAATTATGGATGATTACAAAAAATCTCTCAAGTAATGATTCTCTAAAGTCATGAGTGTATTTTTCCATCGAACTGAAGAAAAAAAGAACAATATCCCAGACTTTCGCATGAATCACAACATAAATACACTCAAAAGGCATCATAACCGAAAATAAACATAACACTGACAAGTTCAAACTTATCATGATTTTAATTGTACTGAAGATATTCTGCTTTGTTTATTTTTTAATATTTAAACTTGTGTTGATTCGTTTCGGTTATTTATTTATTTACTCCGGAGAAGTGACTTACATTAAATCACATAACGTCAGAAATACAAATTTCTGCTGATTGGGATATCACCGAAAAAAATTATAATTATTTTATCATTCATAAAAGACATCACTTATGAATTTGAAAGAACATTTAGCTAAGGAAATGAAATATGTCATGTTAGCTATATTGTCACGATAATCATGATTGTTGTGAGTACAGTATAGCAAAACTGAAATTAATTCATCTCGATTGGTAGTTTGAATCTTCCCATTAATTGTTAGGACCTCAGCTGGTTAGTCTCAAACTACCAATAAAAATGAATTAAACATCGACCCCATTACACAAACAAGTGACCCTCTGCACTCAGTAACTACTTCGATTGGACAGTAGGTTCGAGTCTCGAAATGAACATCAACCCTGCGTTACTAGTACATCCAGCTGACGAGTCCTATATAAGACGAAACGTGCGTCTTAAATTGTATTACTAGCCACTACCCATCTCCGCTTATAAATATGAAATTAACTGAATCATAAATTTATTGACTACTCTAGTTAATCATTATGACACATCTTCATAAATGCTCAAGTATCAGGCCTTTTGAGTACAGCCCATGAAACAAGCTTTCTATTGCTAAAAAAGTTCATCAAATTTATTTGTACTAAAGAGATGTGAAACTTTAGAAATCAATATAATGGCTTATTCATGTTTTATTTTTAAATATATCCCTTCTTTACAGATATGTCTATTCTTTTAAAAAGGAGGATGTCAGGAAAATTTTCGGTATTTTTATGTTCTTATTCATAAGTGAATCTAATGGCACGATAAATGTTATTGAAAGTATGCGAAAGGTTTTATTTTATCGATGATTTTGTCAATCGAAATAAGTGTTTCTTCTGAGTAACGATAGTGGTATTCCTATTTATCCAGCGTGTCTTTCATCAGATATATTTCCTCATCTTTATTTTAATAGATACCAGTTAACATCGATTAGAAAAGAGATTTCATTGAGACTACATATAATTGTTTATAAGATTCATTTTTCATATAACCGTTATGTCTTTCATTTTGCCCACTGACAGTGATATAAACTGATCATATTTAGACATTAACACCGTTGGATACCGACTCTAGGTTCGAATCCTGTGAGAAGTAGGAGTTGTGGATGCCAGTTGCTAACGAGTCCTATGTCAGGACGAAACAGCCATCTTGTGCTTCCAGGTTTCTAATGGTGGTCTAAGGATGATCAAATCACGATTTCAATGTAACACAATGGTCTACATAATTCTATAGTGGAAAAATGATATTCAAGCGTCTTTTCAAGTTATTATCAATATGTATAATCGATAGCTTCAGTCAATTGAGTATTCGCAAATAAATATAATATTATGTTTCAAAAATAACATATTCCTATCTGTTAAATTCATTTCCTCTTTTTCTATGAATTCTCATAGACATATAGCACAAATCTGACTAGTTCACTAACTTAATATTTACTGCAGAGAACATGGCTAGGACCAAATGTTTTATCAATTTTAAAAAATTATTCATTATTAAATCATATGAACATTATCATAGGGCTTTGTGTATGTTTCCACTGTTTTAACACACAGAAATCTTTCTTCAAATTAACGCTACAAATGTTTGACTTTTGTATCGATATAAATTGGAATCACACTATTAGTCATTTAATAAAAAGAATGAAATATATAACGACGTAGTTTAACTGATTTTCTTATCTCTTAAATAATCCCATATTTCTCTAAGTATATATTATGAATGACGATGATACTTAGATAAACTTTAATGTAACATTTTCACAGCCATATTTGCAAAATGGAATAAATTTGTTGAATCATGTATTTTGTTACACTTTTTAAGTGTCTTTTTATTCAATATATTCAAATAGCTAGTTATTGTCACCTGAGGGTAGAAGAATATCTGTTATTTTCAATGGGGAAACGACTTCTAATGCTAATTCTCCTTATTGAGATCAGACAATTTTGTAATCATTTTTCCCAAGGGTAAATTGAATATCGATTACACTATCTTTTTAGGTACTGACATATGAAGTCAATCGTTAGATTTGTACAGAAAGGAATTTATGAGTAATTGTGCCACTGACCGGTCTACTATGTTTTTTACTAAAAAAAATATGATATCTAAAATGCATTGCATCCATTTGAGTAGGCACGAGATTTATAAAAACCATAAATCAAGTTTTTTTTAAAAATAAAACGAATGAATGTTCTTTGCGCCCATAACTATTCTTTTTCTTTGCACACTTATCAGTTATACCAATTGCGGTGTTGATGATATACTTTCTTTTTTAATTTCTTTGTTTGCCTAAATTTTAGTTTAACGCACTGATTTAATACGTAAACTGGTCAATCAAATTACAGACTTGATGATATCTTTTTTTTAAAGAAAATTTATTCTATTCATCCGTGTATTTGTTGAAAGCGTTTGGTCAAATTTTTACACATCTTATGAATTTGTGTAAAATATTTAGTGATAGAATAAAATCTAAGCCTATGTTTTACACAGTTTATTGTTTTGAACGTAGGCTGTGATAACTATTTTGTCCAGTAGGTTTATTCAACCAGTATAATTTTAAACAACGTGATATATGCATATATATGCTTTTGTTAATCTATTGTGTTATCTTACTTGTACCAATAAAAATATATACACGTCAAACATCTCAACTGTTTTTTGTTTATTATTCATGTTTTAAATAGGCAAAACGTTTAACTTTCTTATGCTATAATAACAAATGGAACAAGAGACAACATGTAAGCTTATTCATAATTACGATAATACTGTTGAAACAACTACAGATGATTCCATGACATCATCTCATTACTGTTTTGGTTTAAAAATGAAATCACATGAAATACATGAAGGTAAAAGTAAATCATTAAGCAGAAATCCAGTTGGTTCATCCACTTCAATATCTATACCGATTGCATGGCCTAAACGAGTTGGATCACGGAAGAAATCAAATGCGTGTACAAAATTTGATGCAAAAACTGAATGTGAAATTAAAAAGCAATCATTAACAGACATAACCAATGATGATGCATGCAGAAAAGAAACAGATACACAAAAACAACGATTTCTCGTAAGTATATTGATTTTTTGAACAAAAAATATAGATTTTATCTATTCAAAGAGTGAAGTTGAAAAGTTATAGTAGATGTACACTGAACACTATTAGAGATGTATAGTGATGAAGTAGTTTGAAGTCAGTACACTTCGTAGCATCTTCTATTGGCAACTATGCTTTTTGTGAAAATAAAAAATATTTGTTCAAATTTCGCTAATAGTAAGAGACTTAATTAAGTTAAACTTTTTAAATAGTTAGTTATCATTTATTTCTTAAATTTAGTTAAAGTTAAAATTCAGTATTTCACATGAACCATTTTTAAACTTTCCTTTTAAATAAGGAAGGGAAAAATATAAGAATTTGTTAAAAATCATTTTTTTTTCTTACTACCTAACAGCCCTCTCTCTACTTCATTTTTCTTTACAAAATGATTCCACGGAAGAAAAGTGAAATGTAGATTTTTGATAAAAATAAATGGACACAGTACGTACGTTCTGGTTCATTTAGTTGATCAAATAATTACTTGTTAATTGGAAATTTCTCTTGATCTGCCAATTAAATTATTTTTATATTTATAGATTCGTAGAATTCTCATTGAAATTTCTAATTCGGCTAATATAACTATTAGCTATTAACTATTAGCGATGAATAAATAATGACTGATATTATCTTTTATCAAAGTAATTAACTAAGTGATGTTTTACACAAATATATTGTGAAAGACACACAAAAGCAATATATTTATTTTAGGCAAAAGTCAAACTAAATATATATAATTATAAACAAAGAGAGAGGATAGAGGCTAGTATTGGAGTCTAGGATGCACGTTTCGTCCCATTAAGGACTCATCAACTTGATCTACCTGCAAACCATATTTGATGTTCACTCCGAGACTTCAACTCAATATTTGTCTCCTCAAACTTCATCCCATTATCCACACAGCTACTGAGTACAGAGAGTTATTCGTTTGTACAGTGAAGTGATGCTTAATTAATTTGTATCGGTAGTTTGAATCATTCTATTAATGTTTAGGACTGCAACTGATCAATATATTTTGGCATGTGTTCATCCTCTGTGGATGGCTTAGATATTTCCATGAAGTCAAAAGCATTATAAGCAGAGATGAATGGTGGCTAATATATCATATATCTAACTAACCTAACAGTTGTGAAAGTATAAATATGAAACTTATTGTAAGTATACATGTTGATACTTACTAACTTACTTACTTACGCCTGTTACCCCAAGTGGAGCATAGGCCGCTGACCATTTTTCGAGGTTAGTGTTTTATTAGAATGTTATTTTTCCACGGAATGGGGTCGAGAACCTCGTGCCCAACCCTCTCCTTTTATCCGGGCTTAGAACCGGCCGAGGGGCTCCAGGCGGAGTTATACTTTTTTATGAGGAATATTATAAGTACTTCAACTTATGTCATCAAATTACTATACTTTGTTCGAAATCTATAGTATCCCGGCTTGTTACTATTCAGTGTTCCTCAGCTTTAAATGATTCCCAATAGGTTTACTGATTTGTGATGAGAATGAATATCAAAATATATTTAAAATTTTTACATGGCCACCTAATAATCATAACAACTAAATATCTAAGTAAGTGTAGTTAACATTTCACTGAAGTTAATATTTCACCTTCCTTATCACTGTTTATGTATAAACAGTTTGTTATGATTAATGATCTATGCAATAAACTGATTCTGATAAACACCATATAAATGTTGTGACAAACTTTTTAAAGAAGCGAAACTGATAATAATCACAATAATAATAATAATAATAATAAGTAGAAAATAATAATTATTATTTATATTATTTCTAATATGTTTATGATATTTATTTGTATTTTTTCAAGTTTCATTTTAAAATAATAGTTATCTCTTTTTTCTCTGTATAATGCACTGTCCAAAAATTATATTTTAACAAAAATAAAAGGAGACGAATTTATTTCAAGCATAAATAAGGCATAGAGTTTAGTTCTATGGATAATCTGATTTTAGTACATTTCTATTCAATTAATCATAAAACATAGAGGTTCGTATCAGGTTGATGATTGAAATTATTCAAGATTTCCTTGTTGTTGTTTTTTTCCCATTTCAGTTGATGAAATATATTTTCTGAATTACATTTATCACAGAATAAACCAATAAGATTTTGTGTACACATAAATTAATTGTAGGTTATATGATGAGATAAGTTTAGCCGGAAATATGTATTTAAACTAGAAAGAACTAGATTGTTGTTTTGACCCAATATCATAAACTACATCGATGAGCTCGTCATACATTAGATCGAACATTTTGAGATCCGGGAACATGTATGTTATCAGAGCACACTTTATGAATGATAAACATTAATATTGGAGTTCGATCAAACGGTTTCTTGCCCTCCTCTTAGAGCGTAATTAATTTTTTTTCTAAAGTACAAGAACTTCTATTTAGTAAAATTGTAATCAAATTATCACCATAAAACGAAATCAACTAATCTTAATCTACATTATACATCTCAGTGTCAATGGAATGAATTGTGGTACTGCTTTGTAAATAACCTAGTTCAAATACGTCGAACATGATTGACAAACGAAGGAAAATAAAATACCTCAATCTCAATATACTTATGTATGTAAGCTATTTCCAAGTTTACGATAGATGATAAGATCATAATTTATAATTCAGTAATTTTATTTACTAAAAGTCAGTTTTTCTAAAACTTAGTTACAGGTTAAGCCCACACATAATCTTGGATTCAGGGTGAATTTATAGGAACTTAATAAAAAATTACGATTTTTATCATACAAAAAACATGTACCTAGAAAACGTAAATGTTTACTCGTCTTAAATCTCATCGGTTAGTTTAATCATAACTTCAATATTCATTGCTCATTATTAGCATTGATCAGATTAATCATAATATAAATATTCACATAGGTTGACGTGATCGATCCGAATCAGGTTTCATGAGGCTACCTTATTTTTGTAATGTAGTTCTCAAAATTGAACCAATATAATTCACAGGACAATGATGTGTTTGTATGAATTAAATAAAAATATCGGTGGTATTTGTCACCGAGTGATTCCAGATGGCGTACCATTGAAGTCTGGATGGCACTAAGCACTGTTTCATCAAAAAATGAAACTTCTTACGTGTATCTACTCGAAATCGAACCGGGGAATGGTTCCAATTAGTATTTCTGAAGCTCGATTTACGAGTTATGAACTTAATATACGTTCTTGAGCACTTTTATGCAACACAATCAAAGCCGAGTTAAGTCTATCTTATGTATTTCTCAATATAGGACGATGGATGTTTATCATCTTCATATACATAGGGAGGAATAAATGTGATTTGAAAATCAGAGTGCCTGAACATGTACCTAAATGGTTCATTATTTTTTAGGGAGGACAAATAGAGTGCTGGTGCCTTTGTGTACTTCATAAAGTGCTCAGACGAAATCTTGAGTACTAGCAGTATGAATGTAATGCATGGGAGACTGTCTGTGGTAGCAAGTACCTTCACGGAAGTGGCGAATATCTGCCCTTCCAAGGGGTAGTTAAACTTATTTGAACACCAGGGGGAGCTTGGTGAAAATTCGTGTAGTTTCTAGTGCGCATGAACGTATACCTAACCCCAAGGTTATGTGTGCCTATACATATGTCGCGAGATAAATGAGGTGAAAACGAATGTGTTTACGATATGCATGTAACGTACACTTACTCCAGATGCGACGCTCTTGCGCCAACATCCTCGGGGTTTCCGGCAAAACATATCCACTCATTGGATTTGTGTCCATCGACAGGAAATTCTTTCCAGAAACTCCACTTGGTATCACTGAGTAAGGCTTTTCCAACATTTGTGGGGGAAACACCTCACCTAAATTGCTACAATAACAAATAGTTGAAACGAGTCATAAGATTGATCTGAACTCAGCTTTTGTTATGTTGTGTGGAGGTGTTCAAGGACATATGCTAAGGTTTATTGAAGTCTTAGACAAACGAAAGTCTAAACCTCCATTATGTGTTCATAAACAGTTTGTTCTCACCCTGTTCCTACCTCGGTAATATTGTGTGGTGAGTCTCACATTACATTGATTTTCTTTCCTAAACTTACACTCCATTTGTCTAGTTAACCTTTTATTTTGCATACACAAATGTTCTTAACAAGCATTTGTGTGGTTAGATTGTTCGAAATGTATTGTGCTAACATATCACATCGTTCTAGTAATCTTTATCTTCTCATTACACTAACCAAACTTATCTAAGGGAATAATTACTTGAAGCTCTACTTTAGATTCATTTGTTTGTGTGCTTAGAAGATGGGAGAAACAATTAGTCTTTCACTCATCACAAAAGGTAATAAGTAATAAACTATATCATAAAAGGACCAAAAGAATAATAACAGAACAAAGACTAATAGTAATATTATTATTTCAGATAAAAATAATGTTTACAAATATATTGTGTGACCACAAGGTGAATCATTATGTATACAACTTGGTGGAAGGTGAAGGTCATGGTGGGGCAAAAAAAAGAAAACAGAAATAATTAATCTACAAGCATGGAAAAAAAGTTCTGTCAATAACAATAATAATATTCAGCAACTTATTTCAATATATTTTCGCATGATAAGTAAATGAATACTAACAAACTCATAAGTTCAGAGCTTCCAAAGATTTTAATGCTGTAGGTCAATTGTAAATATAATACAATCACAAACATTTAAAAAAAATTATTTCCCATCTACCTAGCCGTTGTGAACACTACTTGGTGAAACCTTAATAGGTTAATATAACCGTTCTGCCCATATGACCCTCTCCAACTGAGCAGCTAACATTATATGAACACATAGAGGTGTCGGAAGAGAGAGGTCAATTATTTACTTGTATCAGAACTAGCCCGCATGTCAATTACTAGAAATTTGATGTCCATACGGTTGGATGTATTAGATTCGTTTTTTCCATTGGTAGATGGTTTTCTGGTGCTAATGCAAAAAATGTAATTTTGCCGAATAACAATTTTCATGCAACTATTTTTCTAAGTATTTGTGTTATTGCACTCCAAAATAGCATGGGTTCAAATGTTTTCAGTCACAACACAGATTGTTATTTTAAACTTAGCTCTCTTCATGTTAAGTCGCTGACCAAAATATACTTGTTCATAACTGACCGCACCATCAACTAAACTAAAACTCAAATGAGTGACTACTGAATTACTAATCAGTAAATCTGGTCTGTAATAAAAGTGATCAGAAACTGCTCTGAAAGTGTAATCGAAATTTATTCTTTGATCTTCAAAGAATAAGGACTGTTTTTCCTATTCAACTGCTTACAATAATCTTTCATAACCCCAAGATTTCCAAAGTTTGAGTTTTAAAAGAAATAAGATAGTTACAATTACATCTATTTTATGGCATTTCAGTTTAATAGACGCTAACCACAAACTTTTGGAAATTTATTGAAATCGTTAATTACTTTGGATTAATAACACAATTATAAATACAAAATTATTTCAGTTACTAGTAGAACAATGGGGAATACCGTTTGTGATGAATTCTACAACTGTTTACCCACTGAAAAACTTATTACAAGTTCTCAACATAACTTTCTTAAAACTCGACCCTGTCAGATCTGCCACTTTAATTTAGGTTCTACTCCATGTAATCGAGGGCACAAATGCCTAGTGTCATGCTCTGACTTTTCTAAAGCTTTCAACAAGGTTAAACACCAGTTTCTAAGAGGCAGATTCACATTTTACGGGATCTGTTTGATGGGTTTAGTTCCTCCCTCAATCACTGACACCAAATAGTCAGAATAAACTTCTCCCTATCAAATTCTGTCCCGGTCAAATTGGGGTACTGTAATTTAGTATCTTAGGTACCTTGCTCTTTTTAGCTTATAAAAATGATATTTGCTATCGCTTCTGTTTAGGCGATCCTCTTCTACATACAGATGATCTTAAAGTAGTGTGTTTATTCTCCCCTCATAAGCTCAAAAACATAGAAAGCTAAATCAGTATGGCACTCAGTCAAATTCCCCAGCTGTTCTCAAAATGGAATTTGGAGCTTAACGCGTCTAATTATGGGTGGACATGTTTTGGTATTCCTTTGCCTAACTCAGAACTAACTAAATTAGTAAGGTGTTATTAAAGTTTCATGCAGTTATGGACTTAGAATTCTGACATTCCTACAGTTAGTTCTTCTCAGAACAGGTATCGAAACAGATCTTCAAATCTTGTATTCTTCTGAGAAGCCTAATTAGTAACCTTGAAAATAAAGAGTTATATATTTTAATTTACATAGTTTGTGTTTGACCATCACTTGAATACTGCACTTTTATCCTAAGTATTGTTCGCATAAAAGATAAATTATGACTGGAATCAGTTCACAGACGATTTACGCTTCTTATTCTTGGAATTGATCGTACCTTAACTTATAAATCCAGATGCAATAAAATTGAACCTAACCTTTTATTGGAAGGGAAAACTTAAACTATATGTAATTTTTCTCCTTATAATACTTAACAAACAAACTTTTACATCCAATGAAGCAATTCAATTTTCAGAAACTCCTGATTATAGCATCCATCACTCTTCGTCATTAATGAAACAATATCACTACAAAACATCTCTCTAAATGACTTACATTATCAGTAAATTTTTGAGACTGGAATAACTTGCCACAGTTTGTTCGTGAAATGAAATCATTCCCATCCTTTGTTCCTTTAGTGCTTACGTCTTCTTGAAAAAAATATTTTTTAAAAATGCACACACCTTCACCTTACATCCCGTTCTGCAAGTGATATTATAGGGACTCTAAATGTTTAATCGTTTTTATTACTGAGTCCACTAATTATACATTCTTACAAGAAGATATTTTACATTAACTCTATCCATTGTAGAGTTAATTAATCTGAATAGTATTTTAACCGAATATTAAATCATAAAATAATCTAATAATTGTATCATGATAAACCTGAGCGATCTATGTTAGGTACTTTTGCTTTCATTGTTCTATGCTTTCTGTTTCCGTTCTATTTTCTCCAGTTGTAAATGATCATAACTGATCCATTATGGCAATGAAAACAACATGTAATACACTGTTTATATCCAGTTAAAAAGAATGAATAGTTCTTGATTGACTCTTTGCATTACTGTTATATACATAAAAAATATAATTCCTTAACAATTTTGAACTAGTACACTAAACAATTTAGTTTGGCACATTTGTCTTCTGCACTCAATATTCCTACCCAATTTTATCGAATACACTTGGATCAAAAAAATTCTTTCCTAACAAGTCATATTCAAACGAATAGTAAATACTTCTAAAATATTTATAGATTCTAAGCATACGATATGCAAATTGCATTGGTTCTTCTAGTTAAGATGTTAGTACTTCTTATCACTAATCAGACAATTTGTTTAACATAATCTTTTTTAATTAGAGTTATAGAGATTGCTGTTTTTACACACTTGAAATCATCAATCAATCATTGCTAGACCACCATTAGAAACCTGGAAGCACTGGACGGCCGTCTCGTCCTGGTATGGGACTCATCAGCAGTGCGCATCCATGATTCCTACACCTTGCAGGATTCAAACCCGGGACCCTCGGTATTCTGCAAGAACGCCTAACCACTGGACCACTGGGTCGGCATCCAACGGTGTTAATGTCTAACTCTGATTGATCTAGGGATTATCTTACTAATTTTTCTGGAATGGGCATTTATCAATGAACAAATGAGATGCATTCACTAAATGAAAACCATCTGGAAAGCTTGTGTTTCATAATGTTTCCATTTATCGTAGAGCAAAATAAAATCCCGAAAAATCCCACCTCAATTAATAAGTTTTATTTAATGTTGAAATAATAAAGGTTAAAAAAATTTGTAAGATAACTGACTGTGGCATGTTTTTATTATGAATCTTTCATGTTTAACTATCTTATAGCGTTTCTTCAGGATGGGTTTTACAAATAAATCAAAAAAACAGAAGGCAGAATCACTGAATAATGCAATATCCCCATTCGATGCAATAAAAAATGTTTCGGCTAAACATTCACATTTCGCCAAGTATCTTGCTCTCGAAAGTTCAGTTAATCAGAGGTAAGAATTCAAATTCTTGTTTGTTTCGTGCAGATGACATGAATGTTTCTATATAGAATAATGACGAGTTTAACAAAAAAAATCAAAATAATAACTACTTTTTTGACTGTGGTTTGATGCTTAAATTACAAATCTTATCCAACTTGAAATAAAAATAATCTAAGCTTTGTCACAAAAATATGTTGAAAAATCCATAAGCTTTAGGATTTTCTACAAATTCTACCTAAATTCTGTTGTATAGTTGGGATGTGATGAACAGAATAGCTAGTGATTGCTATGAATAGTTATACCGATACAATAAACTTTCAAGTGCATTTAATTTATTGGTATTTATCGAAGATTAAAAAATTTCATAATTTTTGACTAAATCCTTTGAAAACAAACAAAACTATTAGTAATCAGGATTCATAAAACAAATGTGGATTATGAACTAATTTGATATGAAAAGTTTGAGCTTGACAAAGACAGCTATAATCATTAATATACAGTTTCAGTCAAACAGTCGAGTAATTTTTATTCATAGATTAAATTAAATGCCGACATACAAGATTTATTAATTGAGGTTTGAAATTAGGCTATGTCCAAGACTGTAATTAAATTAATGTGTCATATTCTTCAAATCGAACCTACAATCACACATAATTATGTTGGGTGATACATAAATCTCTACAACAGTTTGTTTTATTTTAAAACTATGATTCAAACACTGATTAAAAATGTATCATTGTTTATTCCACTACTTTTTCTGACTTCATGATTCTTATGATTTATCATACAAGACTTAAACTTATGTGGTAGTGACAAAAACTTTGATATACCGGTCGAAATAATCAAGTTTTAACTAGTCGTGAATTAAAAAATTAATAATTATCTTGATAAACATCAGTATCATTTAGACCATGACTTGTCTGGACATTTAACAAAGCATTTATAAGCAGAATTTTATTGATTGTCTCTCTCTACATCTTGATTAGAACTGTCATCACGTCATAACTTTAGTCTTCTATTGATGTTAGTCGGCGGCTTCAGCATTCACAGCTTAATGAAATGATAATCTTAGAACGATTGGTTTGAAACCGATTGCAAACTAAATACTCATCGAACTTTAGTCAACATTTTTATACTAGGATATTTCTATTAAAAAATTTCAACGTACACACAGTATTGTTATCATTGAATTTAAAATATTTAATACATCTTAACTTTTTATTTAACTGATATTTATGTTAAGCTTGACCTACCTACCATCAACAGTAAAAATGAGTTTGCAGTGGCCTGAACAAGAAAAATCAGATACATCTGACCCCGGTGAAACACATGATTCAACAATGTATAAAAATGAATGTGTCAATCCTGAAGAAATTAACTACAAGAATGATATTTATACTGATGTAATGATTCAACCACCTAAATGTGGACAAAGAAGTTCTAGTGTTACTCCATCAGATAGGTTTTCAGAAATTTCTACTGACAGAAGTAAAGAATTCTGTTCAGTCAGCGAGAAAGTTTATCCGCCAACTCCTGTTGCCCAGAAATCTGATGTACTTCTTCGTCGTCCAAGAACTCCTACATTAGGAAGAGCTGCTTTATTTGTTCGTGCATCATATATGGGTGTGGATAAGTCAGGAACACCATCTAGTTTATCATTTTCCAAACAGAATACAAAACGAGATACTGTATTATCAAATGATTCTCATTTGAGTGATTTTCCAAATTTATCCCGTGTACAGTCAGGATTTATAAGTCGAAGTTCAAGTATAAACTCTGAACTCAGGGAATTCAATCAAAATCCACAACAAAGGTAAAGTTTAAACTATTATTTTATAATTCTAAACATTTGGGAACATTATTGAAGTCTTTGTGCTTAAACTTTCACGTCTGTTAATGCTGGCAGGTGTAGTTCTATTTTTCTGTCTGTTAGATCCTCTTTTTGGGTCTCTCGGTGCACAAGTCTATCAACCTACACTATGATTTCCATTATCGTGAAATACAGGATCTAGGTATTTCAATTGAAGGAGTTATTTTGAACGATCTATATATATTTGGAGAGAAACTGAAAGTCCTCATTAGGAACAATGAGGACTCAATATTCACATGACTAACAGGGTGAACTGATCCTAAAGTAATGGTATAGCTTAGCAGTTGCTCGAAAATGCCGATGACATTCCTACTAGAAAAGGTTCTAGCTGTTTTGCTTGAGGATAAAAGTGTATATCTACCCTTCCTCAGGTAATGCTAATCTTTGACTAACTATTAGTTACAATAAAGACTTAGATCTCTTCAATTACACTCTCACCTCTAAATTTATTTTTCACTCACTATCACTCAAGTCAATATCAGGAAAAACTATAAATGCATAACTTAAAAAATTTAACAATGTTCTTGGCAATATATGATTTCGGAAAGATACGAATCCTCAGCACAGATGAAGCCATTTGCATAAACTCTAGAAAACATAATTTTTTTACTCAAAAGAGACATATTCAGCCACTGTGTTTACCTTGGTCCATTACAGGATCACTGAATACCTAAACCCGATATTGTACACCTCTAAAACTCTCTCTTATTTCATTTTGTATTTATATCTTTCTCAATCTACGTATTCATCTTTTCCAATTCACATGACTTTTGTTAATTGATGTATTTTCCTTTTTATCATTGGTTAGCTTGATCACACCACTCATATTACATGTTATAGTCACACAAGTTTATCGTTCTTATTATCTCCATTGTCGAGAAAAAAATTCTTCCTAGTATGCACTTTGTTCACATAATTTATTTGCTTTCAATTCCATACGTTACTTTGACTCTTTCTGATGTTTATTAAATGACCATTTCATAAAGAACACAGTCTTGAAATAGTTGTACCATAATCATTGTGAAATTTCACCATTTTGTAACATATAACATTGTCTAATCCATTAATATAGGCCATATTTTGGCATTTGTAAAATAACACGATTATTATTATGAACTTATAGCTATAGATCATGATGACGAAATTATTGGAAACAGTTGTTGGCTGAAATATTCTTTGTTTTTAAATTATCTATATGATTATGCTTGTCAGGAACTTTTATTTTTGCATGGAACTAACTTAATTTTTGGTAGTTTAAGAAAGTAATTTGAGAAATTGAGTGAATATTTACTTTGTTGTTAGCATAATAAAACAAAGTAATGTTCAAAATATTAGATTTATAGAATCGAATACCAGTCAGCATACTTATAAAAATGTAATACTTTAATTAATCATATTTTATCAGGTGTATTGCAACTATTAAATACTAAAATATCTATTTTTTTTTATTCAACATACAGTTTTAATCGGCTATTTGTGAAAAACGACTCATCACAAACTAATTTAAAAGTATTTACATCAAATGAACGTCAACATGAAACAAAAATTCCGAAATCTACGCCCAATAGGCATAATTGTCATGCTTATGACACTGTTCCGCTAGATAAACTTGAATGTCTAAAATTGATTCCTTCAGTACAAATGCTGGGTAAAAGCTCTGAAACAAATCCACAATCATCAGATTCAGCATTAATCAAACCAACTGGTTATGTTTCAACTACAATGTCTTCTTTATATGGAGGTCAAAAACTGCCATCTTATCCTACAGAATATAACATTGAACGAACTGAAACTCAAGCGATAAAACCTAATATTTTTAGTGATATGAAACATTCTGTTGATTTATCAATCACATCATCTTCGGAAACTGAACTATCAAGTTTGAATTACAAACAACCGATTAAAAATGAATCCAATGGTACTTTGGAAACTTCTAGTCTCCAGTTTAATTCACAAACTTCTTTAAAAAATTGTGGCATCATTACAAATTTACCTAAATCAGTTGAAATTCCAAAAGCTTCAGTACAACCTGTAAGACAGAAATCTGGCAAGGTAAGTTAGCAAAAATCATATTATCGCTTTAATTTTTATGTAAGTACAGTTTGCACATATTTTAAGAAACTGAAATGGGAATAATAATTTTGGAAATACTTAAAAAATACAACTAAATTCCTGTTTATTTTATTTTCTTCTAGCAATTTACTCCTGAACAACCAAAAAACAATAATTAAATTTCATTTAATGCATAAAAATATTTGATTCCTCGTACTGTTGATGAGTTTAATATAAATCTTAAGACTTAAAAGTTATGACAGCGCTGTAATTTAGGAACATTACAATAAAAACTATATCATATAGTTGTCTCAGGTTTCTTTATCTTGCAACATTTTTTGCTGTCATTGCTAGATCTTCCACATATTTACGTTTTTCAGCTCTGATGCTCCTCTTCACTTGTCTGTCTGCTTCTGTGTATTCAACTTGTCTCTTTGCTCTCTACTATTTCCTTAGTCGGAAGTATTTAGTCATAGGTTAGAAAACAGCAACCACTGTGAAAGTACTCTACATAGGATTCAGAGAATTTATTCTATATCACTGATATCTGAATACAGTAATCTGGGGATCTCTCTCTCTCTTTAACAAATACAAATAATACTAGCTTTATCACTGAAAATATATGGAAAATTGTTTTGCTTTCTTATCTGTCAAATGTTTCATTAGTGGTCTACATCTAAACCTAGTTATCTTTACTCAAAATATGTAAATTACTTGAGTAATTGTGATTCCATGACAAGTGTCAGTGGCTGTAGAATAGTCTATATATATTAGAATGTCGTAGTATGTAAACATGAGGTAGGAATAGGCTTAACTAACTTTTCATCTGCAGTACAGTTAGTTTACGTTTTTTTACAATTTATAGAGAATATTTGTTTCAAAAATATTCTTACAGTATATCCGAACACATATCTAAGTTGCATAGCATTATATAAAAATGTTAATTTACTTTCAGTAAATAATTCGTCAAATAGCATTCAATTATCAATATACCTTTTGCTGTATAGTGAAATTCTCAGTTAACTTCATAAAAACATAGAATGAAATAGATACAGCCAAAGTTAAGTAGTCATATTAACCTTTTAATGTTATCCAGTACCATGAAATACCCTGTTCAAATGAATATTTATGTTAGGAATTAATTGATTAAACTTTCGATTAATTCTGATACATTGATTTTTTTCTATTAATGGATAGTTTTACAAATATTGTAATCTTTAATCAATAACCTGTGACCCGGTAAGCTAAAGATACAATCATTCAGTTTGAATAGTTAGTAACTAGGTGACTAAAGTGTAGAATATACTCTGAGAAATATTATGAAACAAACTAATCAGACTGGTAGTTATCATACTAACAATTGATTGCTGTGCAGAGATTGTTTAAATTGGGTGAATAATATTTTAAGTGAAGATATTTAGATCATTTTAACTAATAATGTCACTGTTTTATCTATTGTGAAGTTAAACAATTTAATGCATCGAACAGTCCAGTTAATTTCAAGAGTTTTTTTTACTGAAGTAATCCCGATTCGCTTTCAGTTATAATCGAAAGAATTAATTTATTTGTTCATTAAAATTCTTTCAAATCGCTTGATACAATTACAATCCAGGTAACAGTTTATGTTTAAAATGTTTCTTTAAAATGTATCTTTATTTTCAGACTATCATTGGAGCGGAATTACCAACTTCACCGAAATCTCGTAGTTCACAAAAATCAAGCAATTCATTTTATTTTAAATCAAATAAAAATTTAACAAGGAAATCCCGTCAATCAATCATTAGTAACTTAGAAACTAGTACTGAATTATTATTACCAAAACATAACTCAACATATACTGAACAATTTCAAAATGGAAAACTAATTATGCATTCAATTAACATTGGATCATTTGTGTAAGTTTCAAATAGTCATGTTATTTGTTCATACAAATATAACCGCTGTGTTTTTATAAGGTTTATAGAAATTATGTTTATCTATTTGTTAGTCTAACACATACAAGATTTAAAATCAATAAAAGGAATATTAGGTCCAAAATAACAAATTCATACTAATTCTGGAAATTTCTGTTTTCACTTGTGATACAATCAATTAATTTTCTCTCACACAAGGTTATTGGTGCCGATCAATCAGAGATAGACGTTTGCAGTATATCGTCCAAATGTTCATGTAGGTATTCTTTCCGATTTTTCGATGAACGCTACTTTTAAAATAGTTCTTTTAATGTCAGAGAATAAATGATGTCATATATTCGGTTAAAAAGTGGTACATATTTTACTGCAAAGTTTGAAATCTTTTTCATGTCTAGATTGTAGACATTAAGGGTATCAAAGCATTTCTACGAATGTTAAATGTAATTATTAATTATTATCAATCAAATCTAACAATAAAATGTTAGATAAATAAATCTCATGTAGAAATAGTTAACTGATTTAATGTGAAACAGTTGCCAATTTTGCTTTTGTGTGACGTAATAAATTATTAACTTGTTTGTGAGTTCGAATTATATCAAAAGAAAAATATCTGTATGATGATTGATGATCAGCAAAATAAATTGTGTTCTCCTGAATAGAAATTAATCTTTATAACTTATAGAAGTCTATCAAATTACTGTTTAACAATGTTGATAAATGTTTCACTTTCTGCTATACTGAAAGTTGAAATCACAATGAAAATCAATCAGATGATTTTCAAAACTTTATGCCGAATGTTCGAACTGTCTGGCACTAGACTAAATGTACTGAATATCGACAACAGATTAAACCTGATTTCCCTGAGTACATTAGCATTGAATGTCACAAGAAACTCTTCAGTGAATGATTGTTCTTGCTAATAAAACAAATGTTATAGGATAGTTTATCTTCTAAAAGCAGTATTCCACAAAGAACTCAATGGACGAATCAAAATTTCAAAATTTATAATTAATAGATTCTTATGGATGCACTGTTGGAAACAAATATAGCTTGAAATGCAAAATACATAAATGTACTATCATCAGTTGATAAAATCTAAAAATTTACTACATTCTGAGTGAGATCTTATCGAATTACATGCATTTTTAATATCGACTATAAGTAAAGTTTAGTTTGTTAAATTATTTTAACAACAAATCAATATTTATCTGGATGAAAATAACTTAGTTTGGTAACAGAAATAACTCATTACTATCAAAAGTTTACTTCGCTTTCTGGTACAGAATTAAATTTTAATCTGTGTGGCGTGTGTAATCATGTGCACAGAATAATAATTTTCATGTCAAGTATTTAAGACTTAAAATTAAACAAAAATAAACTGATGAAATATAAATTTAGAAAATATTGCATGTGATAAGCTCAATATATAGAGTTCTTTTTCCATTAAATTAGTTAACTCTGATATGCAGACAAACAAATTTAAATTTCTTTCGGATTCAAATTTCAGAATTTTATCGTGATTAATTCTAATTATTTGTCAGACAGAAAACACATGTTATGGATTAAAAATTTAGAGACTGTCTTATATCGTATATTAACTGCGTTGTTGGATCTAACAGACAGTAAAACACTATCGACAGCTGAATAACAATTCACACATAATTTGTTTCAGTTTGGTTTGAAGCTATTTTGCACGATATATATTTGCCTACTATCAGTTAAATAAGTAGTTCAAATTTATGAATTAAATGTTTCACCATATAGGATAGTTAACGAATGGCTGTATACCTCGTTTAATTCATGTTCATTCAGTATTCCAAGAGTCTAAATTTAGGCATCACATGAAGTTTACAAAAACTTCTGTTAAACATTAAAATATGTCTATCATTCGAATAGTGTCTACATTTTTTCAGATGAAAAAAATTCATATTTCTCAAAGGCTTGTTTCCTTCTAGCATAATATCCTCACTAATATGTATAATCTGTCTGTCAAAATCCTCATATACATGTTCGCTTCGTTATATAATTTACAACATAAAATAATAGCGGAAACTGAAATGAAAAATTTGCAATCTATACTATTCAATTGTATGAGTGGACATATTTACATTATATTGTTTTGATTACGTTTATAGATAAAAATATTACTATTCGTAGAGTTATAACGCTATCAATTATTTCATGTATATAAAAATGAACTAATAAAAATTATTATTGTTAAGTAGACAAACGTTATGAATTATTACGTTGTAATATATTAATTCACAGTGATGAATAATTGTGATGAACTAGACAGAATATTATTAATATTATCAATAATTATTTTGCCAATTTATTGATCCAGAAATTCGTAAATGATAAAGCATATAGATGACAAGTGACAACCTATCACAATCAACTTCACTCTCCAAAATGGTGAATCAATAAACTTGTCAGAATAACATTACATTCGGTTGTTTATTGAATTCTCTCCATTTACCTGCTACCTATAGATATTAATAATTATTATTTAAAAACCAAAGCGGTGTACTGATTTTCTACCAGAATATCGAAAAATCCTTAGTCTTCTGTTTAGAAGTGAGTTAAACAGGATTAGACTGACAATCTGTTATCACTAACACACACTATGCAGCAAATGTTAGAAGAAAGCTTGGTTCGTCAAAAAACTAAAACTCATATAAACGATGATATCACATTCCAGTGTGTTTATAAACGCGAATGTTTGTGGCCAAACATACATAGGGAGGAGTAATCATGATTTGCAAATTAGGCTGTCTGGACATGTACTTAATAAAACTTAAATAGCTGCAAAAACAAATAAAATCAAATGACCCAATACGAGTAGATAACAAACATACATCGTCCGCTATTTCCATAGTTCAAACCAGTCATAAGATTGATCTGAACTCGTCTTATGTTATGTTGTGTGAATGTATTCAAGGACATATGTTAGGGTTTATTTAACCCTAACCCATCCAAAAGTCAAGACTTCCTTTATGTATTTAAAAACAGTTTGTTCTCACTCTATTCACACCTTGATAATATTGTGTGAGTCTCACATTACATTGATTTTCTTTCCTAAACTTACACTCCATTTGTCTAGTTGACCTTTTATTTTGCATACACAAATGTTCTTAACAAGCATTTGTGTGGTTAGATTGTTCGAAATGTATTGTGCTAACATATCACATTGTTCTAGTAATCTTCATCCTCTCATTACACTATTTAAAAGAGAAATATATATTATTGTTTATTTACGCGTTAGATAATGTTAATATTCTACAGGAAAACTTTCATAAACCAACGAAAATAAGTTGCTGAACAAATGCGATCTCACTTGTATAGTCGAAAATTCGTCCCAAAAATCCCCAAGTATCTTTACGAATTTTCATGCTTGATAAAAACATTGGCATCACTTAATCTAGTAAAGGCTCTGGTGTTATCGTTATCGATAAAAATAAGCATATATATAAGGTTACAACGATTCTCAGTGACTAACAAAAGTTCATGGTCGACGGTGTAAAAGAATATATATCACTGTAGCCACTGAAAGACCTTTAACGAATAAGTTGATAAATTCTTTTTAGAGAAATGCAATCGACAACAGTCCAGCTAATGTGTTCAAACCTGGACGATCCAAACCTGCCGAAAGTACATTGATCTGATTATTCGATTAGATCAATACTGTCAAATTTTAATCCCTGCTTCCTAAATTCACCTGTTGACTAACAAAAAACTTACATGTGATTTGTTTGAAGTCAGCTGTTCATAATTTGAAGGATTCAATTCCATTTACAAAAGTACGAAAAAATGTTCACATTAGTGACATGCTTTTGGTTTTGATTGACTTGTTTTTATTGCTTATTACAATCCCACTGGAACAAATCATTCAAATTAGGTGTAAACACACTTACGTCATCTCATTAGCAAAAACTGGCTACAAACAGTTTTCGTTATCATCTGCTACAGATTCTCATTTTTAATACAACTGCATTCTGTCTAACTAAGTTGACGAAGTGAACATAGGAAGCCTACCGAGCTTAATATTGGCTGGTAATAAGTAAAGCATTTTTATATGTCAGGTATAACTATGACAAATTTCTTATTTGTTATAGTCATAATCAAGCTTCCCATACTTTGAATCTTCTCAACAATATCCGCCCAAATAGATGATTTACAATGGAGTGAAAATATGAAAACACACTTCATTTTCTAGATCTTGGCATCCAACATAGTAGAAGTGATCGAATTCAAAAAGTCGTTTAGTGAAAAGTCATCTAGGGTGGACTTTCAGTAACTTCTGTCCAATTACTTACAGACGAGCTTTAAATTCTGTCCAGTGAAATACAAAAATCATGTTCACAAAACAAGGTTAAATTAGAATTTAACCAGCACTTAAGACTGTTTAAGGCAAAATACTTATCCGAAGAACATCATTAATACACATGACAAGGCAGGAGCAAATGTATTGAAAAGTAATAGAATAAAGAAGAAATCTGTCTTCATACTGCTTTGTTTCAATGATAATGAGATAACCGAAGAGGTCAGTTCTAGACTTGGAATAGTATGAAGAACTTATCATAAGTAATTACTTTAACTGACAAGATGTATCATGAAAGATTTTATGTTCTATCTAAATTACTGCTTACTTTCCGGAATTCTTCGTACTTTCTGAACACTAGACTATTCAGTGTTCTATAGCCAGTGACCTATGCATAGGTTTCTACAAGTTATTAATATCACTTAGCCCTAAACTTGTTTGAATAGATTAAACTCTAATAATTGTGCGAACAAATGCAACACTCAATATTCGGAAAGACATGGTAATCGGCTGATTGTTTTAGAAACATTTATGATGTGGTGTAAAATGACCCAATCGTTATGGTTGAACTAGGTGTATGATACAGAAATGCGTGGCTAAAAAAAACACGACTGAATGATTTTATCACACAAACGTCACAAGAGTTGGTTATTAAAACCAA